ATGCTTAACTTTCAGAGAGCAGCACTGTTTTCTTTTTAGTATTTTTAAGCATCTTCTTTTCACTCCAATACAGCTGGGTAGCTGAAAGAGGATGGAAGCAGAGAAGCAGTCCCATGAGAAAGGTCCAATGACAGATCTCCAAGCTGAGACAGAAAGTAGCTCAGAACAGTCTGAGAAATTCGAGGTCTGCTAAATTTATCAGGCCCAGAGAGATATGAATATAGGGCTTCAGTCAGGTCTCCCTCACCTTTGTCTGGGATAATTGCTAAATTGCACGTCTTGGTAACTGTTTCCAGACTTCTTGTGCTTCTTTGTTGCAAGATTTCTGGAATTTATGATGCAAAGAGCAATGTATAGCTAATCAGTAGCTGATGTTATTTTAATGAACCAATGTAAATTCTTGGTAAACAATTTTGGAACCGTCCCTTTAAGATTCTCCTTTTTCCTTGAAATATTACTGACTTCTTTTTTGTCCTCTGGAACACATACTCAAGACAACTTGGGTTGGTGTTTTTCAGGTTGCAATCCTAAGAGATGGCCCAAATAAACTGCTTTATATTTCTGCCTCTGTTGTTTCTTCTAGGTTTGCAGAGCCTTACTTTGAACCAGTGATTCTTAGCCCTTGATTAAGAGACCTTCACAGAGAAGGTCTGTGAGGACACTCGCCCCCTACCAACATATTTTATTAAACTCCCTATGTATTTAGGTACTTGGGTTTTTCCAAAGGACCCCCCAGCCCATATCACTCCAATGTGCACCCCCAGTTGAGAAAAATTACAGGAATCCATTTAGTTGTTTTTTTGAGACATTATGATGGTTTAGGCACCATAGGAGATACGGAAGATAAAAAAATGAATAGAAACAGTCTCTGCTCTCAAGAAGATGATAGTGACACCGTTGTGCTGAACGGAATGTAAAGAAATCACAGCTTCATTTTTTTGTCTTCTGCTGTTCATTTAAAGCTGCTCAGTAAGACAAGTTTCTCCCCTTCTTATGTTTGAAAACCTGGCAGGTCTATGACTCTACCAATAACTCTTAAATAAGAGACAATTCTATGGTTTCTTTAGGTCACAAACAAGTCTCATCTCACTCATTTGGATGTCCAATACTGTGGAATAATCAAATCTCTGAACTTGATTTAGACCTCAATCTTCTCCCCTCTCCCAGTTAGAAGCAGTTTCAGAGATTCTCACACTGGTCCTGATTCAGCACAACCCAGGCAGTACCTCTCCTTTGGGGTGTGTTGAACTCAGAGCTTGGCAGCTCTTTCTAAAGAGATCTCTTCACAAATCTACCCCTTCAAAACCCCTCCACACTCTTTTTTTATTTTTTAAATTTTTATTGAATCAAAATTGATTACACCAATTTTGGGGGTTCAACATTGACATATGTTGACCAAATCAATATTATTAGCATATACATTGTTACAAATCATAATTATTTTTTATGCCCCTTGTCCAATCTCTCCCCGTCCCCCTTCATCTCCCCCTCCCCCTCTAATCACCCTAGATTTCTTCTCTCCCTCTGAAAGAATAATGGTTACTCTGTTGATTTGCTGCCCAAATGATCTGTCCAATGCTGAGAGGTGTGATCAGGTCCCCCAATACTGTCATAGAGCAGATGCTTCTTCCATCACTATGAAATGGGCTCTGTGGAGACAGACAACCTCCTCCTTTCTTTATCTCTGCTGGCTACTCTCCTTGTGTCAATGCACTCCAGTGGCTGGTGGGCCATCTGCGTGGTGGTTGTGGCGTCTAGCCGCCTTCACAGCAGCTATGGTTATCGTGGTGGCTGTGGTGGGCCACCCACATGGAGGAGATGTTTTTGGCATGCTCCTTGGCACTGGTGGTATGCCTGGTTGTGGAGAATGTCCAGCCTCCAGCTCCATACCCCAGGTCCCCAAGTGGGTCCTGAGGTACTGGCATGGTGTACCTGGTTGTGGGAGGGGGTTCTGATCCCCAGCTCCATGCAACTGGGTCCCTGAGTGAGCCCTGAGGTGCTGGCATGGGGTGCCTGGTTGCGGGAGGGTGGTCCAGTCCCCTTCTACGTGCCCCAGGTCCTCGGGTGGGCCCCAAGGCACTGGTGAGGTGTGCCTGGTTGTGGGAGCAGGGTCTGGTTCCCTTCTCCATGCCCAGGGTCCCTGGGCAGGCCCTGAGGTGCTGGCATGGTGAGCCTCGCTGTGGGAGGGGAGTCTAGTCCCCTTCTCAGTGCCCCAGATCCCCAGGCGGGCCCCCAGGTGTTGGTGGTGTGCCTGGATGTGGGAGTGGGGGTCCAGTCCCTGGCTCCAATCCTTGGGTTCCTGGGTGGGGCCCCAAGGTGCTGGTGGTGTGAGTGGATGTGGGCAGGAGTCCTGCCCCTGGCCTCATGCCTCATGTCCCCTGGTGGGCCCCAAGGCATTGGTGGTGTGCCTGGGCCAGAACTAAGTTTTTCTCCTTTGCTTACTTCTAACACGTGTTAGAAGTAAGCAAAGGAGCTACTTTTAACAACAAATAGTAAAATGTGAGAGGGGAGAAATGATTTACATACAAAATTTATAATTAAAAGGGTCACAGAATTTAGGGATGTGAAGGATTTGCCACCTGGCCAAGAAAAGAACAAAAAAGCATGCAAGGGTGTGGCCAAGTGACCCTTTGATAAAAGGATTAGCATGAATAGAAAGAAACCAGATGCTCTTCATCAGAACAATGGGAGGATGACTCCCATGGCGTTTCAGACATCTTCAAGGCTACCCCTCCCATCCCAGGCCCAGAGGTCTAGGAAGGCAGATTGATTTCAGGGGACAGGCCTGGGGCACCCACCACGGGCTGACTTCCCAGGGCTGCCTCAGGACTCTGCTCCTTGCATTCCAGCACAGTGCTCCTCAGCGCCCCCCCCCCCAGTTGTGTCTCAAGTGGCCCCAGGTGCAGCTCAGGCTGCTGCTCTGGAGGGCACAAGCCATAAACTTTAGTGGTATCCACGTGGTGATAAATCTGCAGGCACGCAGAATGCAAGAGCTGTCAAGTCATGGCTATCTCCACCTAGATGTCAAAGGATCTCATAGACAGCCTGGGCACCCAGGCAGAAACCTGCTACAGAGGTGGCGCCACCACAGAGAGTTTCCGCCAGGGAAATGCCTAGTGGAGCTGTGGGAGTGAGGCTACTACAGAGACCTCAGAACTGTAGAGCTACCAGCATGCAGCCACAGCGTGAGAGAGCTTCAGACATGAGACTCCAACCTGTGAGAGCTGCTACAAGGCCTGAGCTCAGCAAAGCCATGCGGACAGGGCTGCTTGAGGACTTGGGGGCTTAACACCCACTCTTGTGTGTCCAGAAGGTAGCACATAGAGTCAAACATTATTCTGAAATCTTAAGATCTAACATTGTTTGCCCTGTTGAGTTTTGGACTTACTTGGGACCAGTTACTCCTTTTTTGTTGCCTATTTCTCCCTTTTGGAATGGGAATGTCAATCCTATACCTGTCCCACCACTGTATTTTGGAAGCACATAACTCATTTGATTTCACAGGCTCATGCTGAAGGGGAATTTGCTTCATGATGAATCATGCCCTGAGTGTTGCCATTATCTGATTTAGATGAGACTCTGGAATTTGGACTTTTGAGTTGGTGCAGAAACGAGTTAAGGCTCTGGGGCTATTGCGATGAAATAAATGTATTTTGTATATGAGAATGACATGAATTTTGGGAAATAGGGGAAGAAAGCTATTGTTTGAATGTGTCCCCCAAAGTTCATGTGTTGAAAACTTTATTCCCAATGTGGTGGTGTTGGGTGGGGAGGCCTAATGAGAGGTGTTTGGATCATGGGGGCACTGCCCTCATGAATGGATTAATGCTATTATGGTGGGAGTGGGTTTGTTATCACGGGAGTGGGCTCCTGATGAAAGGATGAGTTTGGCTCCCTGTTGCTCTCTCGCCCATGCAATGCTTTCTGCCATGTCATTATGCAGCAAGAAGGCCCTCACCAGATGCCAATGATCTTGGACTTCCCGGCCTTCATAACCATGAGCCAATAAATTTCTGTTCACTATTAATTATCCAGTCTGTGGTATTCTGTTATAGCAGCACAGAACAGACTAAGACAGTCTCTAAAGTTCCTATAAATTCATGCATGTAAATGCCACTGTAAAATCAGAAACTCTATACTGTTATTGATTAATCCTGGTGGCTTTTAATTTCATGTATGCTAAGAATAATAAGATTCGTTTTCTAAAGGAGAGTGTGAGAATGGTCACTTATGGATTTAAAGTACATCTTGATGAAAACTGACCTTGGGAGTTGAGAGGTATGAACACTTTGAAATGATGATCTCATTTAAAAAGTAGTTCAAATAGGATTTAACGGACTGTGAAACTGTAGTTTTAAATTAACAAGTGTACCTAGTAAAAAGCTTTGCACTGATAAGGAATATCAAAGGTCAACTGAAATATTATAATAATCTTAATAGTTTAAGCATCTTGCTTATTAAGATGTCAATTATTTTGACAGGTTTTTAAGGGGTGAAAGCAAGGAGGTGTGTCTTTTAGTATCTTTACCATATCATTATAAGTCATTTACCAAGTGCTCACACATATGCCGCCCACGATGGATCACAAAATCAAAATGCACCACCTGGGCTTCAAGAAATTTTGACTAAATACTTTAAAACCAGAATTATATACCTAATACCGGATCTTGATTTCATCTGTCAAGACTTTGAAAGTTATTACCCAAAAAGAAAAGACAGCAGACATCTGGCCAATCAATTTTATTTTTAATTACCCAAGTGTGTATTGACCTTTGTATTGAGACATAATGGAGGATACAAAAGGAAGACAAGATTCCTATCTCCTCCAAAATTAAAATCAGCTGGAAACACACTGCACAAGACAGTAAGACCTAATATATAGTGAACAGCATCTGAGTAGTGCAAGACAACTTAGCATAGAGTAAACCCACACAAAGGGACACCATTAGCAATTATAGCAGAGTAACTGGGGAATACATCCTGGGGGTGGGGGTGGGGGTGGGAAAAGCAATGAATCTATGCTCTAGTCCCCCAAATACCAGTGGCTTATTGTGAACCTTAGGCAAATAAGTTCTACCTCAATCAGCTTCAGTTTGCTCAACTCTAAAACAGAAGGTGAGGACTAGATGGCTTCTAAGGTCTTTCAGCTATAATAATAATGCAGAGAACTTGGGAAGGTGAGGATAATACAGGAAAGAAGGTTAAGCAGAAAGCCACAGAGGTGGGGAGAAACTGGCTGTCTGTGCATGGGCAAGGTGTGTTGTGGCACAGCAAGAACCTTAAACAAGTCCATTTAATTCTAAAGATTCCAAAGACAGTGAGCTTGGAAATGGGTGAGACAGAGTATGAAGCCGGGTAAGAGATGCTAACCAGGAGCCAACGTGGAGAAAGAGATACTGTGTTTCCTGTTGTCAGAGTCTGACTTATCTTCACCATCTCTGCCTCGCTTCACCTTCTTTATGGAACTTTATTGCAACCCCCTTCCCCAAACCCACACCCCAAACAGAGTAAGAATAGGGTGTGGTTACAGATGTCTTCTCTTTAGATCCGTACAAGTAGCCCCCTTTTGTGGGCCAGGAAGCCAAGAGCCATTGCTGAAAAGACGGTGGTCAATCCAATCAGCCTCAGCAGGCCTGGCACGGAGGGCAAATGTCTCTCCAAGAAGGTCGTGGTGATGGGCTGTGCAGGGACATCCTAGGTTCACAGAACATTTGATATTAGTACAGGGCTTGTGCATTTCATTCCAGAAGGTCTGCGTTTCCTCCAGTTCTCTGAATGTGACCCACTCTTGCCAACCTCTAGGCCATTAAACATGATGTGCCCTCTGCTCGTAACACTCACCCCCTCTTACCCACTGGACTTTTTACTTAACTTTGCTTCCTCAAGGAGCCTTTCCCGAGCCCTCAGCCTACAATGGCCCCCTTTTTGACATTTTCCCTCAGTATGTCTTCATTGTACTTGAACTTTTTGATTATTACCTGTATTCTCCACCAGCTATTGCACTCTACGAAAGCGCTGCTGTACCCTTACAATGGCCAATGCAGAACACGTGCACCATAAATATTTGTTGAGTGAACGACTCGATGGTCCCTCCAGCCCACAATCCCATCTCTAGCAGAAGCACTAGGAGAATGACTTTGGAGTGGCAGGTCTGTTCTCTTTGACGTCACACTTAAAAGGATAGAGGAATAACTTTGACCTTTTTAACCCTTGTCTTCTACAATGTGCTTCCACTCTCTCCTCTATGTATCCTTTCTTCCAGCCAGGAAAACTTCCTGGGGTTTTATTACAAAAATGGTAAGTATATTGAAATTTAATTTAGATTAAATATGCTCCATTTCATTCCACCCCTTTGCCCCTGGTCAGGGGATGCTAACACACCTTCTTTTCTTTTCCTACGTCCTATTGAGAATCACCAGGTTAGATATTTATTCCACAATTATTTATTGAGTTTTTAATATGTCTAAAACTCTGTGAGAAATGTCTCCCCCCACCCTTCACATCAAAAAAAAATATTTTTTCTTAATAATCTGCAATGAATGTGGTAGCTACACATTTATCAAAGATTGTCTAAATCTCTCACCTCTGCCCTAACCCATGGTAACTATTAAAACATTCATGGGTTGGATCACTTAGGAAAAGGTATGTGAATATACACAAGTGTATTCTTCTTGCAAATAATTATTTTTAGAGGAAAGAGATCTAAATTCATGAAATAAAATATAGCTTACCACAGACTCTGGTTCTGGTTGCCAGATTTCATCCTCTGGAATCTTCCCCATGGCATGCAGGATCTGAAATGAAAGAGCATCTTGGAAAACAGCAAAACTGATACCATCTTTTCTCCTAATCTGCCCTTTAAATAAAGGACTAAGCGAATATATCTTGGGATATCCATCAAATATACCAGGTAAAGGCCAGAGAAGCCCACTCAACCTTTAAAAGTCTTCAAAAGGTCTTTGATCTTTTTATAAGCGGTTCCAACCATTAAGCACACCATAAATTTTAGTAGTTGTAAATATACCTTAATAGGAATGACGTCAAAAGAATTGTCAGGAAAGGTAAAAATGATTTCTGGACCTAATAGAAACATGTTTGGTTTTATTATATCAGACTTCGGTGATCTCTCAAGTATAGCCATGGTGATTTTTTGTCCCCTGGTCTCTTTTTACTTTGGGTGACATGTTAGATATTTTTGTTATTACTTTTGGGTTAAGTCGCTTACTTCACTTGAGACTGCTATTAAAATGGTGGATCTTCAGGTGAGGGTTACTGGAGAGTTGCTCCAGGATCTCAGACACCTTTGATTTGTTTATCAGGCCCATGAGTTGCCTTCTTCCCCAGAGCCCATGACCCTGGGCCCTACCTCTCGGGCAGCTCTCTCCCCAGCCTCCACAGCTCCCTCCATGTAGCCGCTCCAGTGTGTGGCAGTCTCAGTGCCTGCGAAGTAAATCCTGCCCACCGGCTGGCGTAAAACCCTTGAAATAAAAGCAAAGAGGTAAAATTGGTCAGTCTCAGAAAGCCAGAGAAAAGCTCTCCCAGAAAGACCAAGGCTGGTCAGCTTCCACAGATTCTAAACATCAAGGAGGACATTGGCAATTTTGAGATAATGTTCATTAGCTTCTCCAGATCTTGCATGATCTTTCTTAAAGACAAAATGGACTAAAAGCCAAAGTCCACTCCTACACCCAGAGTTTACAGGGAAAGGAACTGACATCGATGGAGGTAAAACAGGTATTTGCTTCACCTACATGAAGCTAGGGACTATATGAGCCCAGTCGCATATGGCTCCTTTTATGGCTCACCAGCTCTGGTCAAGGTGACACATGCCCCCAAATCCCCACCTGGGTATTCAACTAATGACCTTGGCAAATCAATTCCTCTCACTGGGCTCTGGCTTCCTCATCTCTTAAAGTGGATGGTCCGATTATCTCTAAGACCTTTTCCATCAGTAACATTTTACAAATCTGCCCCTCAATTAGAGCACTTATCACAACACTTTAGAGTCAAAGTTTGATGTGCTGCCCTCTCCCTATCCCCACCCCGGCCCTCAATGCTGTCAGATCCTTTTCAGCAGCGAGGGGTGTATTTGGTATTGAAGTTTCCAGCATAGTGCATGGCAAATGGTTGAAACTTAGATAATAAATGCTGAATGAAACAAATACTATTGACATATTATATACTCAGCATATGTGAAAATTAACTCAATCACCCCATAGCTTATCAGGTGGTGACTTTTGACCCCAGAATGTTCTCTTGGATGACATGTTGTCATCTTTAGGAAGATAAGAAAAGTGCTAACCAAAGTCATTATGTACCTTCTAATAAGCAGGTCTTAATCCTTGCTTGACTGGTTTTCATGAACAAACTGATTAGCCATTTCCATTTATACCCTCTGCTTATTGCACACTCTCAACAGCTTTGCAATCACTGTTCTGCATTTCCTATCTAGTTTAGACTGAGCACTTGGCATTAAATTATTGCTTGGTTTAGTATTACTATAATGGTCATAATAATTACTGTTATACCATTAATTCATACCTTGTTATTGTCATCAAATGCAATAAACCAAACATCAATAACTCTCACATGTATGCACAATGCTGTGACTGCTAAAAGCCACTGTGCTCTTTGAATGGCTGAATTGCATGGCACGTGTTATATCTCAATAAAGTTGTTAAAAAATAACTCATACTCTCATTAACATACTGATTAGTGCCCACTGGATGCCATCTCGTGCTTTCTCATCCTCCTACTAAGGAAAGTGAGGTTCAGAGAGAAGTGAGCTGTCCAAGATGACAAAACTTGTTATTGGTAGAAACAGGACTGGAACCCAAGTCCCTTTATGATTAGTCTAGAATTCATTTTGCTTTTAGAATGCTCTACCTATGTTGGCATTCATACAGTTGCATTAGAGGAAATTTTACTGAGTTCTAAACTCAGTATAAGGACACTTCTTCTGACAATATATGTGAACCCTCTGACATCTACATTGCTATCTTATGGGGCAAACGTCTTTGGTTATTTTGATTGGGATTGTTTCTCCACAGGAATTAAGAGTGAAAGGTCACAGTATGGCACAAAATTATAATGACTTTGTTCATGAGATCCGATCCACATGATACACAGGAAATTAGACCTTTTCTTTTTTTCTGTGTTTATAAGAGACAGAAGAGCTACATAAACCTATTTAGAGTTTGGATCCAGTTGCAGGGGACTTCAGTCACAGCTTAGCACACTTTTACTCTACCTTCCATACTGAGTCATGATCCCAGGGGGGAAGTAGGTGGTGTAGCAGCCCCCGGAGTACTGCTCCTCACACCAGTTCTTCTCTTCATAATGCACCGGCTGCAAGGCAGAGTGACAAAAGCTTGAAGGAGATGCAGAGGAAGACATCTAGCCTACAATAAATCAAACACAGTCCAGTAGACTTTGTACTGGTGAACTAATACATTTCTGAAATAGAGCCTCATTATTCCTGATGTTTTTGAGGATATGTCTTTGGGCAAGTAAATGTCCTTGGTAGGAAACTTCTACGAAATGCAGACTTCAGAAAGGTTTCTCACTCGGTTCACTCATGTCTTAGGTACTGTTCATCAGTTGCAATCATCTATCTCCAGTTTTAACTTGCTCTTACGTATTAAAAAGTTTTTAGTGTCTAATAGTTTCAAGAAAGTTTTAAAAAGGATTTATGCTTGCTGGAACGATTGGACGGGGGAAAAAAGCAGAAAAATAATATCTGTTGAAGAAAAAGGATAACCAGATTCATGGTTTTGGTGGAGATGAGCTTTTTTAAGGGAAGTTGGATAGACAAACTAATATTCTTGCGCGTGTAGGTATACTTCTGTTGATGATAGTACTCGCAAACAACTATTGGTATGAAAAATATGTTTTTGCCAAGAACAGGGAAAGCTTTACCTGAGATTTTGCAAAGCTCTAACTCTTTATTAAAGTAACTAAACAGAAGCTTTACCGTAAGCATTACTCTGAAAAGATAAAATCAACATAGCAAGTTTTAAGAGAAAAATGCTTAAAAACAGATTTTGAAAAATGTTTTGTCTAAACAAATTTGCAATCACATAGATGACTTCGGACAGTCATTTGTAAGGCATCCTATTTATAAAGTATGAGGCCCAGCCTGATGGGTTAAGTGGCCTCAGGCCTCTCGTGGTGTTAACGTGTGCACTGCACACTCCAGTCTCTGAGCTCCACATCCAGCTCCTGAACATCCTTCTCTGGCTGTTTCCAGCCAATCAGAAGAAAGGTCGGACTTTATCTTTCATCCTTCCTTGCTCCCATGAATTTCTTCCTTCCACACAATAGACACCAAAGCAAGAGTAAAGCAAGTGGTCCCCTCTATGCCAAGAGCAATTAAGGACAGAATCCACTCATTTTTATCATTGGGAATTAATCATCTCCATTCTTAGAAAAAGAGACTTTCCTAAATGAAAAATGATTAACTTTTTTGGACATAGAAGACAACAACTGCTTTTCTTTCCAACTGAGATTCCCCAAACAACCATTTCAAAGGTTATTGGAGGAACTTCAATTACAAACTGCTTTATCCTTGAGAGTGTCTCAGAACACAATTTCAAAAAAAGCTTGAATATCTACCAGGGTGAAATATCTTGAACAGCATTTTTAAACAGAAAAACTAATTTTTAACAGATGCTAAGTGATTTTTTTAGTGTGTATGCATTTTTGGTTTTGCTAATTTACTCACCATCCTTGAGCCTGGATGTTATGCCTATATTTAAACTTTCTAAATGGCATATGAATGCAAAAAATGAAACAAAGCACACTCCTCATTAATATTATGTTTCTCTCCACACCAGTCAATTAATTGTTCTTGGTCATTTGCTGAGAAAGAACTTAAAAAAACAAAAACAAAAAAACTCAAGAGCCTGTGTTTCTCATATATCAAGTACAAAATATCTGCAACTCTGGGGGGGGGGGGGGGGTTGGGAATCTTACTTCAAAATAATAAACAAAAATTTTCAAGTTCAAAAGTCACAACAACTTGACTAGGAGCAAGCAAGAAACTTCCAAGTTCAGTAAGGTAAGTGTTAGAGTAATAGGACTGAGCCATGTAGCATCAGCCTGCCTTCCTTCTATCCCTAACATTCAAGGGTAAAACAAGGCAGAAAAGGGGACATGCAGGAGGGCAGCACGTCATCCTATTTTTACCTACAAGATGGTGAGGGGTAGGGTGGGTGCACATTTATGTACATGACTGAGACTCTGGTCTTTTCACAAGGTCGCCAGAGAAAAAGAAAGCTCTTTAGATTCCCATCCTGGCTGCCAGGATCTAAGATTTCCCTACAGGCAGCAAGAGCTCCTCTCTCTTACCCCCCGACAGAGTTGGGAGCAGAGTGGCCCAATGCCCTGCTTCAGGCAGAGGGAGAATTCAAGGACAAGTGTAGCACCACCTAAACCACAGCATATGGCAGGGTCCCTAACCCACCACCAGCATAGCCAGGGCCCACACTCTCTGGGACTAATTATAAATTGACCAGCTCTGTGCAGACCCTTCCACGAGTATATCAGGGAAAACATGAGCTCTAGGACCCTATACTTGCATGAACCTATCCCCATTAGTCCCTGAGGACAAAGCTAAATTTCTCTCCCCCAGGCAAGGGTTGGGAAGCAGCCTTACGTGCAGAGCATCTTGGGAGCCCAAAACTTTTGCATAGAGCTCACAAAGTTTCTTCAACCTACAGGAGAAAACCAAAAAAGGCAGAAGTGAAAATGAAGGAAGGAAGGAAGGAAAAGAAAAAGTGAAAGAGGCACCTATCCCCTCAGAAAACTCTCTGTGAGCCAATGATACCGCTCTGATACTTTGTTTTAATTTTTTAAAACAAGGTACATTGTTCTATTTCCAATGTCTCAGATCTGTGAGGTCAGATATTAATCATGTGAGATTGGTGATAAATGTTTAAGAAAGAAAAGCAATGTTCTGCCTGAATCACCGGCGAGCCCTGCAATTTGTTCATTCATTCAAGGAAGCACGCCATGTGCCTCTTAAGTGTCACCCGTGTGCTGAGCAATGCAGATCTGGGGGGGTGAGCCACAGCCACGCTCAGCCCTCCTCCTCCCCCTGCCCCATTAGAAGGCAGTGCACACACTGGAAAGAGTGGGGATCAGGAAAGCCTTGAATTTTGCTTCTGTCTCTCACACACTGAGATCTTAAGCAGATTATATAAGCTCTCTGAGCTTTAGTTTTATCAACAATCTCGCATGATTTTTTCACTACTGATTTAAAGCAATGTGGTCCCTAGACCAGCAGCATCAGCATCACCCAGGAATTTGTTAAAAATGCCAATTATCAGGCCCAGTTCCAGACGTACTAACCCAGAAATGGGAATGGCAGCAATTCTGTGTTTTCATAAACCTTCCAGGTGATTCTCAAGTTTGATGAACCACCGATAAAAAGTGTTATAGAGTTCTAAGCCCAATAACTGTTCATAACAAATAAATGCTCAACAATAGTAGCTCTTAGGAAATTTAGTGGAATGGAGGAATTGGAAGTAAGCCAACAGTTAAGAAATGTCAAGGAAGAAATGAGGTTATAGTTATTTCCAGCCTGAGTTTTACAAAATAGCAATAATTATTATTATTGTAAAGCCATGATCTCTTTCTACAAAAAAATCACAAAAATGCCTAATTTCTTCTCCTTCCCTCTCTTTTTTTTTTGGTGGCTGGTCAGCACAGGGATCTGAACCCTTGACCTTGGTGTTATCAGTACCATGCTCAACAAGTGAGCTAACCGGCTCTTTTTTTCTTTGTTTCTACATAAATGAAATAGTTTGGCACAAGCAGAGGAATGGCCACACGGAGCAAAGACATAAAATTAAGTTCAGAAATAGAACCAAATACATAGGAAATTTAGAATTCATAAGGGTGGGCATTTTAAACCCATGGAGAAAAAGACAATTCAATAAAATGGCCCTGGGACAAATGGCTGCCCACGAAAAAAATATAATTGGATTCCTACATTACTTCTTACACCAAAATATATTTCAGAAGGATCAAACATTTACATATAAGAGATGAAAGCATAAAAGTAATTGAAAAACGGATGATTTAAAAAAAATTATCTTGGAATAAGAAAGTCTTTTTTATTCATCATAGATCAATCAGAAGTCATGATTTAAAAATGGATAAATTTGACTACATAAAAAGATAAAATTTTATTATAGTATAAAGTAAATAAGCCACAAACATGTTCAAAAGACAAATTTGGAAAAGATTTGTTGCAGGCACTGGAGATCCAGCAGTAAACCAACCAGACAAAGCATTCTTGGGGATGTTTTTGGGTGAGTGGCCCAGGCAGACCTCCATAGCCCTGCCCATGCACAGAGGTGGCATTGGTCATGGAGGAGCATGCTGATGGAAGGGGAAGGAATGCACCATAATGTAATTCAGGGGCTCATAGTTGGTAAATATGTTATCAGTGGTGGTGTGGGAATAAATAATTGGCAGTGAATACTAATTGCCAGAAGAAATTGCCACCTCCAGAGACATTAGCCCCTCTTTACCTACAATCTGTAATTGTTATGCATCGCTCATGTAGTATGTACAGCAGACCACCCTGCAACACAGTAATTTGTCTATCTGGTCATCAAGCAAATTTTCAGCCCCTGGGTTTTATCCATTTTCGTATTCTCCATAGCTTCTAGCCTACTGTCTTATGTACAATACACTCAATAAATATTATTTTGAAGACTTGGTTCTTAAGTTATCAGCACTGCACCTTTATACAGCAAAACCCTTATAATCAACATAGCACATACCTGCCACTGGCAAAACACATATGATTAGCAGCCTGTAAGTTAAAAACTTAAGTAAAATTGAAAGTCAGGCAAGTAGGCGGCAAAGAACGAAAGGAGGAGGAAAGGAAGGAAGGGAGGGAGGGAGGCAAAGAAGAGGCACTCCTCTTCTTACCTTTCTTCCTTGGTAAGACGTGCCAGTTTTCTGGCTTTGTGGGCAAGGATAAATCTAAAACACACAAACAAGAAAAAAGGGGAAATTAATGGTTGCTTTCATCCTGACCTCATTTCTATAGCTATGTGTGTGCCTAGTGTACAATGTTAAAAGCCAATTAGAAGAAACAAGCTATACAGCAGCTTAGTTTATGTTCACAGTTTTACTGTTACCACTTTACATTCCTGACCTTGAAGAGCTCCTTCTAGGAGCTCCTTCAGGGAGTTGAGGGACTCCTTCAGGGAGTTAAGGGACTAAAAGTAGATGACTGGCAATAATTTCTGCCTAGGGTGACACTATGACTGATTCACTCCCCCCAACTCATCTGGTGGCTAATAGGAATGAGCCTGGGCCTCCAATGCCCACTTAAGGCTGTGTCTGAGCCCTTCCAGTTTCATCCAGTCCTTGCTCTTTGCTTCTGTCTGCACCACGGTGTCTCCCTAGCACCCAACCTTCTAGATTTTGCTTCCATTTCTAGCCCTGTGATTGCCTTCAACTTAACAATTGGTTTGACCTCCCTGTTCTGACCCTTGGCTCTCTGTGAGATAAACTCATACACGTCCTAGGGCTCATCTCAATTGTAGCTGCTCCACGTAACCACCTCTCTGGACCAGGTTCTGGTCCCCAAGCATCACCCATCTGTGCTGGTCTTCCCTGGAAAGCTGAGGACTGGGTTAGTCTTGGTTGCTCTCTAGTGGGAATCGTAAGATCTCAGCATCCCACATAAATAATATTGATGCCCATACAGCCTCCACAAGCAGCCCTCTTAGGGAAACACCCTAAGTGGGTCTTTATATCATGGTTTCAACAAAAGATGGCTCACTAAAATATATCTACCTCCAGCACTAAATATAAAGCAGAAAACTAATATAACAAATTAAAAAATGGTATTCTACTTCCTTTTTAGATATTAATTCATTGGAAAGCTTTATTAACAAAAAGAAGCAATAAGAATTTTTCTACTGCTGGATTTGAAGAATAGTGCCATGGGTTTAATAGCATTTGGGGCACATTTATTAATAATGTGTGATTACCTTGTCAACACTGAATAGCAGCCACAACACCATAATTGTGCCTTACCCCATTATAGCAGCATAGGTGCCATCAGGTTTGGTATCATCCAATGTGTAAGCAATGGGAGCTTCCTCTCCTTCAATAATCATGGTTCCACAGTAATCTTGGGGAACAGCAAAATGGAAGAACATATTCATCACCCTATCAAACTATCCACAGCAGTTACAATGAAGCACACATTTTCCAACCTGAGAAGCCCAAAGGCCAAACACAGCATACTATACTTTCTATATATGAAGGCGAACCAGACTGATGTCAAAGGAGGGCTAAGCAGCCAACATTTTGTAAAAATAAAAATTGAACCATAAGCCCTTCTCTGCAAAGAATAGAGCAATGTGATATTATGAATTCGTCTAGGCCACCATTTAATGAAATCTAATCTTCCTTGTGTCTCCTATTTCCTCTTTCATGAGAAATCAGAATAAAGCCAAAGATGTGTAAAGGAAATATTAGTCCATTGCTGTAAAATGGAAGGGACTGTATGTTCACATTTTATGAGGAGCCACTTATTCTATTTTAACTAGTTCTTTGCTTATCTGAAGACAGGATGACACGGAAAATTAAAATCCATAGAGTTCCAAACCCTCATTTCAAACATGACCTCCAATAATTCTTTCCCCCTCAAGAACAACTTGGGAAACAATTTCAGCTCATTCTGGATAAAAGTGCTTCCTTCATTCTCCTCATGAACAAAACACGAGCACACGCAATTTCAACAAAAGACTGGGACAGAGCAATGTTGAAAATGTCAGGGTGGAGTCTGAAATGTTCTAATAATATCCTACTATAGTGTACTACTCTTCCTGCTCCATCATAAAATTGCAAATTTGAAGTTTTTTGAACAAAACTATGGTGAAAAACTATGGGGCAAATATTGAATAGAAAAGCCAGTAAGAGGGTTTCAAAACAAGGAAGATAGGACAGAGAAAGAACTTGGCAGGCATGCACCTTCCCAGCCTGTCTGTGCACACATGTGTGCACAGGTGTGTGTGTGCAGGCACACCTGGAGGCCTTTTTTTCACTATTGATTTTAAGAGAAATGTGCTTTATTTTTTCAAGATTCCCTTTATTTTTTTAAATTTATTTTATTTATTGAATCAAAATTGATTATACATATTTTGGGGGTTCAACATTGAAATATGTTGATCAAATCAATATTACTAGCATATATATTGTTACAAATTATAATTATTTTTTATGCCCCTTGTCCAATATTTCCCCATCCCCCTCTCTCTCCCCCCTTCCCCCTCTAATTACCCTAGATTTCTTCTCTCGTTCTGAAAGAATAATGGTTACTCTGTTGATTTGTTGCCTAGATGATCTGTCCAATGTTGAGAGGTGTGCTCAGGTCCCTCAATATTATCATAGAGCAGATGCTTCTTCTGTCACTCTGAAATAGGCCTTGTGGAGAGAGACATCCTCTTCTTTTCTTTATCTCTCTGCTGGTGACTATGCACTCCAGTGTCAATGCACTCCAGTGGTTGGTGGATCATCTGTGTGGTGGTTGTAGCATCTAGCCACTTTCATGGCAGCCATGGTTATTGTGGTGGCTGTGGTGGGCCACTCACACGGAGGTGATATTTTTGGCATGCTCCTTGGCACTGGCAGTGTGCCTGATTGTGGGGTGTTTCTGGTCCCTGGCTCCATACCTCGGGTGCCTGGGTGGGCCCTGAGATGCTGGCATGGTGTGCCTGGTTGGGAGAGGGGATCCGGTCCCCTTCTTCATGCCTTGGGTCCCTGGGTTGGCCATGAGTCACTGGCATTGTGTGCCTGGTTGTGGGAGGGGGGTCCCATCCCTTTCTCCATACCTCAGGTCCCCAGGTGGGCCCTGAGGCATTGGCATGGTGTGGCTGGTTGTGGGAGGGGGGTCTGGTCTCCTTCTCCATGCATTGGGTCCCTGGGCAGGCCCTGAGGTGCTGGAATGGTGTGCCTGGTTGTGGGAGGGGGTTCCAGTCCCCAGCTCCAGCTTCCGGTTCCCAGGCAGGCCCCAAGGTGCTGGTGGTGTGCCTGGGCCAGAACTAAGTTTTTGTCCTTTGCTTACTTCTAAAACAGGGGAACTTCTTGTGGGGTCCAGTACTTGAGCTCTGTGTTTGAGCTAAATTGCTGCTTTGCTGCTGTTTCCCTAGGGAAGGCTTTTTGTGCAGCTCAGGGTTTAATGGTTGACTTTATAGGTACTTCTGGCTCTCCGGAGACCTGGTGCACCTGGGTTGTGTCAAACTCTGATCTGGGCCTGAGTTTTTTCATCAAACTGCACCCCATGAAATTCTGCATTCCCAATCAGTCTCCTCTGGTTCTGTGCTGATTGGGGGGGGGGGCAGGTTGGCTGTCCTTGCTGTGTCCCAGTATTCTCCAGGTGGACCTGTCTCCCTCACCACCCACACTCCAAACACTTCCCATGGGAGGGGCCCTGCTCTGATCTCTTGCAATGACTCACTGGCCTCTGAATGACTCCCCTTTTTCAGCTGTTCTGGCTCCTTATTCCTGCCTGGGTCCATGGGAACCCTATTAGTGGTCTTGCTGTCCTGGGGGCCACCAAGGCTCTCTTCTCTCCTGCCACCTCCAAGTAACTCCATCTGAAGGGCACAGCTGTGATTTCCAACTTCCACCAGCTCCTGCTCCATGTGCTCAGCAGCTCTAGCCTTAAAGCAGCCGTGGCCTGAAACTCTCAGAGCAGTTTTTTCTTTCTCTCATCATGGTTTCTCCTGCCTTCATGTCCTCCATAGGTCTTTCCTTCTCTTATCCTGAGCTCCAGTGGCCCCAGCTTGGCTGATGTTACATTTTGATAGCTGTAAATTGGTTGATTTGTGGGAGAGAGTGATGCTGGGGACCGTCAATTCTGCCATTTTCTAAGAGAAAATCCTGGAGGCCTTTTAAGCTGCATTTGCTTCTCTCTCTCCTCCCACATCCCTCCTCACTGTGCACCTGTGACAGTCAATGGCCCAGTCAGCCACTGGCTTCAGGGGTGCTTGTATGTCCCTCAGGTGTGCTGGGGTGGACAGACATTGAGAAAGACTGAAGTATGGGAATAAGAGATGTTTAAAGACCACTCAAGAACTCTAGAAGATTTAAGAATATATAAAAACTAGCTAAGGAATAAAAACATGTTATAAGAAGGCAAGAAAGAGGAGACAAACAGGACAGGATCCCATCAAAGAGCAAGTGCATATTGATCACATAGGGACTGCCTGTGGTAAAGGCACTGCTTTCCAGCTGCTGGGATCCTGGGGACATTGCCTTCCCAGAGTGAAGCTGGCCTCTGAACCAGACAGATGCACCTGGTAGAAGTGAAGGAACAAGGGGCAGCGAAAAAATTCATGTTCATGCCAGGACAAACTATGCAGCATCAGTGGGATTTCTACCACTTTCAGGTAGAAAGCTCAGAAGCCCTGCACACAGAGTGTCCCAACAGCATTGTAGGGCCTCACTCTTAAAAAGAAAGAGACACTCAAAGACATCTAGACATCTAACAAAGTACTTTAAGAAGAAGAGCAAAGACAAAAGCAGATACAAACTAACAACAACAAAGCAGAGAGAACTAAGGAAAAAAAGGCATTGAATCAGGCTGTAGAAGAAATTTCCAAAAGCAAGTAACATCCTCAGAGAGAAAGGAGAAGATTATAGCTGTGGGAGGTGATAAAGAGAAATATTCAGAAGAAAATAATTCATAGAAACTTTTTGAGTGTAGGAGTGTGGAGGGAGGAGTTTTGACAAAATGATAATAACATTCATCTGGAAAAATAACTTAGGAAGTTTACCAAGGACAGAATTAAAGGAAAAATAATAATTAAGACAATGTCCTACCACATATCTATCAAAATATGTCACAAAGCTACAGTAATTAAAACAGTATAGGACTACATGATGCAAATCTGTGTTCTCCAAAGTGGGGTGTGTACACCTGGACTGCACATCTAAATAATGAAAGAAAATACTAAAAATTGTTATTTTTTAATATCAGCTTTTTAAAAAGGTCCACTTTTGTATTTTTTTTTTTAATTTTTAATTTTATTTTTTGGTGGCTGGCCGGTATAGGGACCCAAACCCTTGACCTTGGTGTTATCAGCACCATGCTCTAACCAAGTAAGCTAACCAGCCAGCCCATGTATGTTCTATAGTAATGACAATATATTTTTCTAGAGGTACATGTGTATAATTTAGGAATAAATGCATATGGTGGTAGCTTACTTTTAAATTTTTTTATACAGTGAGCTACAAAAAACATTTGCAGCTCAGTGACAAGGAACCGTGGAACAGAAAGGCTCCACGTACATATGAGGATTTAGTAGGGAGAGAAAATATTTGCAACATATACAGAAAAAAATTTTAATGAGCCAATAAATAGGTAATTTATAAAATCATTTAATATACCCCTAAGCCTTATTAATAATAAAAATTACAAATTATAGATAATTATTTAATTCCCCCTACCTGACTGGCAAAAAATTAAAAAATATTACTAGCTAGCACAGATGTGGGAGGACAGAAACTCAAGCAAAAATTTCAAAGGTCCACTCAAATCAATTGACTTTACAATTCCACTTTTTTTTCAGTTTTTTTTAATTTTAATTTTTATTAACATATAGTTGACAAAAATCGTATATGGTTATGGTATCCATGATCTTTCAATATATGTATACATTGTGCAGTGGTTAAATAAAACTAATTATAAAATATCTATCACCACTATTACCTTCTTATTTGCTCATGTTGTTTCTTCTGAATAGATATTATGTTTTCTTCTCTGTAATTTTAGATTGTTTCTGAGGCTGTTACTATGAGGAACAGTTCTTTGTAATATACAATCCTGAATATGTGCTACAATAGATCATTTTCAAGGTATTCCTTATATGAAAGGATCATTGAAAAATTTAAATTCTAATATGGGCTCAATTTTGTATGAAGTATGATTGAAGACTTGCTTTTTAAAAATTAATATTAATTAAACCTGCTGAAAATCGAAATGTAAAGGAGGAAATAATGATTTTTGGTTTTGAGGGAAATGTTACAAGTAGTACAATGTTCCTGGGCATTTCTAAACAGAGGAAGACCACCTTGTAAAAGCCTGGTTCTAACCAACTTTTTTGTTTGTTTGTTTTTGTTTTTGTCATATTTTCTTTTTTTATTTATTAGTTATTATTTTTTAATTTTACTTCTCAATATACATTGTAGTTGATTTTCATGCCCCTTTACCCATTCCTCTCCACCCCCTCCCCTCCCCCTACAATTCTACTTTTACAAATTCATCAAAAAGGAATTTTCCTATACAAATCTGTAGAGCTATATGCAGGGAGCTATTTATTGCAGCATGGTATGCAATAGCAAAAACTTTGAAACAAGGGGCCGGCCCGGTGGTGCACTGGATCGTGCGCCGCTTGGGAAGCGCGGCGGCGCTCCCGCCCGAGGGTTCGGATCCCACATACAGACCGGTTCCCGCTCGCTGGCTGAGCGAGGCGCAGGAGCAACACCGAGGGTTGCGATCCCGTTGCCGGTCCCCGGTCCAGTACGGGGCAACACTGGGGGTTGCGATCCGTTGCTGGACACGGAAAAAGAAAAAACAAAAAAAAAAAAAAAAAAACAAACTTTGAAACAAGAGAAATGCCTATCAACAGCAGATCTATTGGGTAAATTTTGACAGAGCCATACAATGAAATATTGTTTATTCAGTTGTGGAAAGGAGGTAGATTTAAATGTACTGCTGTGGAGAGATGTCCATAGCATACTGTTAACAGGAAAAAGCAAATTTCAGTGCTTTTGGAAAAATATATAACATATTTTAAATTATATTTGCATATAAATATACACATTATATGATATATATTTACAGCGTATATATCTCTCTACATACGTACACATATATTTAAAGTATTACCTATGCATATAATAAATCTCTAAGGATAAACAAGTAAGTATCTTTATTTATCTAAGGATAAATAAGTTTTTAACAGTGGTTCCCTGGGGGGAGGAAGAATAGGAAAAGGACACTCTTCATACATTTTTATTTTTTGAAAGTTTTATGGTGAATAAGTTTGCTTTTGTAATTTTTTTTAAAAGTATGTATAGTGCCTGTCATTGAAAATCATAAACTGACATAAATTAGATGTTGAGATTTAAGAAAAGTGCAAATGGTTAAAAGATCAGCAAAAGCAAAGATGGCAGGATTTGAAGCGTTGCTAGCGGCCTGCTCTCTCCACGGAAGTGGGCAGGGATGAAGGGCTCATGCTGCTGAGATGGCCCCGGGGGAGGGCGGGGTGCCATCCCGGGGAGGGATGGTGAGGGCAGCTGGACTTGAGATGACTTGGTGAAAGGCTGGCAAAGAACAGGGGCCCTTCCTTGCAAATTCACAAAGATACTTAACACCAAGAGACTGAGAAGCACTTCCCGGGATAATCAATCTAGAAGGTGACTATGTGAGAAGAGGAATATGTTGATTTGCTTGACTGCAATAATCATTTCACTATGTATATGTATATCAAAACATCATGATGTACATCTCAAATATATAGAGTAAAAAATAAAATAAAAGTAATGTTTAGCTTAATGCTGGGGGGAAAAAGAAGCTATCAAGAATTGGCTATGGCTGCCTTATGAAAATACAAAAAGTTACCTTTTCTTTAATAACCCATACCATACCAAAATTATAAAACAAAACAAAGCAAACAAACAAACAAAAATCTTGAGCGATTGCTTACTACATGCCTGATATGCATTAGTCACTGTTCTAGTCTGTTTGGGGCTGCAAAACTCACCCCCTTCCATCTTGTTAGTTCTTATTCCTTTCTGTGTTACTAGTTAATTACAGTGTCTTCCGCAGTGACATTGACAGTCTGATGCAAAGCAAAGACCCTGTTATAGCTGACTTCTTCAGGTTTCATTATAGAATCCTTCAAATAATTGTTATTGAATCGCTTATCAATGTTACAGGAATCATATTAGAGGTGAGTTTTGGAGCCTGCCTCTGTGTTTCTATATAGTAGCCCAGAACTCAATATATTGTCATGCAATTATCAGTTTGTATGACTGTCTCCTGAATCTGGATTTTCTGAGCAAGGAAATGCGCCTTTGAATTCTCAATGCCTAGCACAGTGCCTGGCATACAACAGGTGCTCAATAATGGTCAGTCAAAGAAATATATTAATATAATAACTCTAAAGAAATTTCAAATGCTTTGGTGGGGCTATCTCATGTCCACAATCATTTTTTAAAGTATTACTCAAGGCTCACTACCAAGAAGGATCAAGTCAGATGCAGCTTCTTCCTGAGGGTGGGGAACTTGGGTTTTCTTTCTGATACTAGTGCCCAACAATTTGCTTGGCACACAGCAAGCTTAAGATAAAGGTTTGCAGACATGAACGAAAAGTTATAGATTCTCTCCACAAATAAAGCTATTCATAGTCATGAAGAAAAGAATCTGTATTCCTGGTTCTAGACTCTATCTTACTTGCCACCAGCCAGCCATCTAAAATAGGTGACCTCCATCACAAGAGGCAGCAACTCAGCACCAGTGTGCCACTGCCATTGGATTAAAAGACTAAAATGACAGAGTTCTACATGGTGGGCCACTGCACTGTCCCTTGCAAAGGGTAGATTACTTGCTCAACTGGTACACCAATCCAACAACAGTCCTAAATGTGATTATATGCATGGTGGAAAATTAGGAGCCTGTGTTTGTGGCTGAAAAGGGCTAGTACACAGGAAGAACCGTCCTAAGGCCAAACTGTGACATGTTCCCCATTCACCTCCAGCCAGCCATCCCCTTTCTGCAGTCTTGCTCCTCATTTTAGTCCATCCTGCCTTTTGCCCTCAGTTCCAGGTACTGACTGTTCTTACCTGGTGTCCACTGGGAAGAAAAGTGGATGTGGTAAGAGTAAATGTGATAAGACTCTAGAGCTGTGATGTCCAATGCAGTAGCTACTAGCTGCATGTGACTATTTACATTTACATTTAAAGCAATTAAAATAAAATAAAATTTAAAAATTTGGTTCCTCAGTCTCACTCGCTCGTTTCAAGTGTTTGGTACCCACATGTGGCTAGTGGCTAGCATATCAGACAGAGCAGCTCTGGCACATTTCTGTCACTGCAGAATCTGGCCCTTTAGTGAGCATCCCCAAGTCATGTCTACTCCATATAGTAGCACACTTGTTGAACATATACGAATGAATAAATGAATTTAATTTAATATAGTAGAATCTTGAGTGATGGCCTGGAAATTCTCAGAATCTCCACGTTTGTGAATGGATTCATAAACTCATACTTTTAAAAACTGTATTAGAAATGTTGAACTTTCAAAAGGAGAAAACAGAACTGAGGCTACCCGAGGTAGGAAAGGGAGGGTTGGGGGGTAAGGGAGGAATTGGTAAAGGGCCATGAAAAACAGTTACATTGCATATTGTTGAATATACTAATTATCTTGATTTGAGCATCACATATTGCACACAGATACTGATATTCAACTCTGCACCCCACAGATATGTACAATCAATGATGTTAAAATAAAAAAATTTTTTTAACTGTATTAGAAAATGTTGATCACCTATTATCACAAGATTTTGTGGGAGGAGTAAATAAATTTTATATTGAATTAGAAAAAGAGTTGGTCATATTCCAAGAAGAGTTACTACCACGAGTTTGTGCCAATATATTTTATTTGAAAGAATTGTACTTAGAACCTGGACTAATGTTTTACATCCAGCATTCTGATAAAAACAGCTACATGCAAATGTATATCTTGGTGCCAAATTTCTTGGACCTTCTTCTGAAGGCCCTTATAGAAGGAAAGTACTCACTCTTTTTCCTCCAGAAGGGCTCTTTATAATAAACCATACACTTGATGACTGAACCCAAAGGCACACGAGTGATCAGCTGGTTTCTCATCATTGGCAGAGGGGGATTGAAGTGAATCTTCATGCCCAGAGTAGGAGGAATAGCACTAATCACATATTTAGCCTGAATGAAAAACAACATGGTTAAACATCGTTGGTCTGTTGTCTTTGTTTTTTCCTAACGATTCTTTCTTATTCTACCCTTGTCCCCTTTCAGTCTCTTCTTAACAGAGAAGTCAGAAGGATCTGGTTGAAACCTGAAGTAGCCCTATTGTTCCCTAGTTCAAAGCTTCCAATGATTTCCCATCACATTTGGAGTCAAAGCCAAATTCCTCACACTCACCTTCAAGGCCATACACGAAATGGACCCCTGTTTGTTACAATCTCTGGTCCCACTCCTCTTACTTCTGCCATTTTGACCACCTTGCTGTTCTTTGACCAGGCCAGGCTTTTTCCTACCTCAGGGCCTTGACACTGGATGTTTCATCTACCTGGAACACTCTTCCCCCAGAGAGCCACATGGCTCAATCCCTCATCTCCATCAGTTCTGTGTTCAAATATCAGCTTCTCATTGAGGTCTTCCCTGAAGACCTCATTTCAACTTTCATGACCACTCCTCCCACCCCCTCCCTTCCTTGCTTGATTTTTTGCACACTACTTACCACTCTCTGACATGCTTTGTATTTTAACTATGTATTTGATTCTGGCCTTTTTCTTTCACTAGATTGTCAGCCTCAGAAGGGCAGAGAGTTGTATCTTTTTTGCTGCACTCCCAACTTCTAGAATAATGCCAGACACATAGGAGGGGCTTGATATTTATCAAATAAGTATTTTCTTTGGTTTTCTAATGACATAAGAGCCTAACACAGAGGGTTGAGAATATATGATTTTGTAAATCCTCATCCCCTCAAATATTCTGGTTCTGCTTTCCCTTCTTTCAGATAGAGGTAGCTTTTTCACTTTTGGCAAAGGGACTGCCTATGAAGTCTGGGATATTCTCAACTTCATTTAAGCTTTGCTTTATCTATGGGACTCTGGCCTCTTCCCCTTAGTTTAAGGGTCTTGGTTACCTCATACAGCTCATGGTTTAGGGTCTCCACAAGTACATTTTCTCCTGTCTGGTCAATGCGGGTCACAGGCCTCTCTAGTTTCACTCGGTCCCCGAGGAGGTCCATTATCCGCTCACTCACTTGACCAGATCCGCCCACAAATTTCCTCTCCTGGAAAGAAAATAAGACTCAAGAGGTGGGTGAGAAATACAGAAATGGGCATAAATTGCTAAGTGGCTAGTTTTCTTTGCATATCTTTACTCTGAGATGTATAACATTTCATTTTGCTGTTGTGAATAGTGTCTTTCACGATGTTTTTCGAACTAGGGACTGCTGGCTTTTGACAAAATTACAGGTTGTCTAAGTCACCTTCCAGACTATGCTGTTGTGGATTCCCAGGCTCCAACCTCACCTGGACATCTTCAGAATGACCCCATGTCCCACCTGTCTGGTCACTTTCCCTTCTCTATGTCCCATCTGCATTCTTTTGCTGTGCTGGGGGTTGGGGGGGTGGGGCTGGTGAAGTTCCGTCTAAAGTTTGGGATGAGCACACCTAAGCCTCTTTCCCCTTCCAGGTGACTCAGGCTCAGAAGCTCCCTGCCTCCACACCATGTCCCCACCTGCAGGCCAGCCCACTGCTGTCTTGGGTTATCTGTCTTATCCCATGCTAGGTGCCTGCTGCTGCTGTGGCCACCCAGGTATTTCACCTCACTGTACCCACCTGCCCCAAGTCTTGCTAAAGCTTCTAAAAGTTCTACATGGCTATGCACACAGTCGAGCTGACTGCCTGCTCCTCAATTTTCAGTTCAATTAACTTTCTAAAAGACTATTTTAAATAGGTCCAAGGGGGGGGGGAGAGGAGGAGAAGGAGGAAAAGGAGGAAAAAGAGGAAGAGGAGGAAGATGAGGAGTGAAAGAGGAAGACGGAGAGGAGCAGGAGGAGGAGGAGTGGGAGGAGAAGGAGGAGTGGAGAGAGGAGTAGGAGGAGAAACAGGAGAAGTGGGAGGAGAAAGAGGAGGAGTGGGAGGAGAAAGAGGAGGAGTGGGAGGAGAAGGAGGAGTGGAGAGAGGACTAGGAGGAGAAAGAGGAGGAGTAGGAGGAGAAAGAGGAGGAGTGGGAGGAGAAAGAGGAGGAGAGAGGACTAGGAGGAGAAAGAGGAGGAGTAGGAGGAGAAAGAGGAGGAGTGGGAGGAGAAAGAGGAGGAGAGAG